AATAAACTCACTGAACTTTTATCTGTTGTCTGAGTCATTTGTTTACTGTTGTCTCACATCCAATTTTTGGAGTACTCACAAAACGAACCTTAACAGAATAATCCAGCCAAATTATGAGTACTCCAGGGTGGAACGACAGTGAACAAATGCTTCAATCTTTAGCTAATCAGGGTAAACAGATCTCTTGTAATGACCAGAACATCCAACAAGTATTAGAACAACAACAAACACTAACCTCCAATTTGGACAAGTTGGGTGGTATGGTTTCTTTCCTTGACCGAAAAAATGAACGCTCTCTTACCTCCTAGTTCCTCAGTTTTTGCTCCAGCTCCTGCTTCTCCACCTACTCAACCAGTCTTCCCCAGAGAACAAAGCATCCGACCAAGCCACCATTTTGACAGTAACCCTAACCATTTTGGGGGATTCTTTTTACAATGTTCACTCGCTTTCAATCAGTCTCCCACTACCTTCAACTCTGATTCTTCCAAGATCTCTTATATTATAGCCACACTGCAAGGTAACGCACTTCGTTGGGCACACGCATATTTTTCCAACAGAGACATAAACCTCACTTCGTTCTCTACCTTTTTGAATGATTTTAAAATTGTTTGACCATCCACTCCACCAGGAGRCAGCAGCCAGGAATCTTCTCACCCTCCGACAACACAACGAATCAGTAGCGGAATATTCCATCCACTTCCGCATTGCTGCCCAAGAGACCGGATGGGACAAAGCTGCCCTTAGAGGTATTTTTTTCAAACTCTCTTTCCGACTCTATAAAGGACCAACTTGCTACCCGAGACCAACGCGAAGACCTGAATGAATTAATTAATCTCGCTATTTGCATTGACAATCGCCTCCAAGAGAGAAATAGGTCTCAGAACTACAGTTCCCACAATGCAGTAGTCGTTTCCACTCCATGTCCACTTCCTGCTTCCTGTGACGTCACCGCCAACATACCAGCAACTACCACAGAAATAGAATCCATGCAGATTGGTCGCACCCGTTTAACCCCGGAGGAGAGACAACATCGCTTCAAGGCGCACGAATGCATTTATTGTGGTAAGAAAGGCCATCTAATTGCCTCCTGCCCGGTTCGGCCAAAAGGACGTACCCACCAGTAAGACAGGAGATACTGGTGGGTTCCTCCTCTAATTCTCCTGAGAACTGTCTTACCCTACCTGCGACCATTTGCACAAATAATATTAACCTTCCAGTTGTTGTACTAATTGATTCAGGTGCAGAACAGTCCCTCATCAGCAGCAGTATCGTGAAACAGCTTTCCATCACCCCTGAAGAGTTACCAACAAGCATCTCCATGACCGGGCTCACAGGCCAACCCATCTCCTCCATCTCTCAGAAAATTCCTCAGCTCCATATTGTTATTTCTGGTAATCATCATGATTTTGGTGAGTTTTTCATATTCCACTCTGAAAGACCCCAAGTTATTCTTGGTTTTCCATGGCTGGCTAAACACAACCCTTCTATTGACTGGAAAAACAAACATATTGAGAGATGGAGCGACTTTTGTTCTGAGAATTGTCTCAGATCTGCTGTATCACCAGTTTAYCCTACTTCTCCCTGTGAAAAGATTGATTTGTCTTCCATCCCATCCTGTTACCACGACTTAGCACCTGTTTTCAGCAAAGACAAAGCTCTCTCTTTACCTCCACACAGACCATATGACTGTGCCATCGACCTCTTCCCAGGCTCTCCACTACCTTCCAGTAGGCTTTTCAACCTGTCAGGCCCAGAAAGAGAGGCAATGCGCGAGTACATCGAGTCATCGACCACATCAGGTATTATCCGCCCATCTATCTCTCCTGTTGGTGCAGGGTTTTTCTTCGTGTCCAAGAAGGACGGGTCACTAAGACCTTGTATTGATTATAGGGAACTGAACAAGATAACCRTAAAGAATAAGTATCTTCTCCCATTAATTGATTCAGTGTATGAACAACTCCAGGGCGCCACCATCTTTTCAAAACTAGACTTAAGAAATGCTCATCATCTGGTCCGTATAAGGGAGGGAGATGAGTGGAAGACTGCGTTCAGAACACCTTTAGGACACTTTGAATACTTGGTCATGCCATTTGGGCTCACTAATGCTCCAGCTGTTTTCCAGGCCCTGGTTAACGATGTGCTCAGGGATTTCTTAAATAGATTTGTTTTCGTATATCTGGAYGATATCTTAATCTTTTCTCAGAATCAAACCCAACATCAACAGCATGTCCGCACAGTCCTACAACGCCTCATGGAAAATCAACTCTTTGTAAAGGCAGAAAAGTGCGAGTTCCACACCTCTTCTATAACCTTTCTAGGTTTGATTTTTGAGAGAGGGCAGGTGAGGACAGACCCCCAGAAAATCAAGGCCGTGGAAGAATGGCCAAAACCCAAAGACAGAAAACAACTCCAAAGATTCCTGGGTTTTGGTAACATCTACAGACGATTCATCCGTAATTACAGCAGTGTGGCATCCCCGTTGACAAGACTCATCTCCACCCTCAAACCGGTTACCTGGGACTTTGAAGCAGAATTGGCTTTTGGTAAGCTTAAAGAACTTTTTACTTCTGCACCTATACTCACTCATCCAGATGCATCTGTYCAATTTATTGTTGAAGTTGACGCTTCTGATTCCGKAGTGGGGGCTGTACTATCTCAAAGATCCACCACGAACAATCTGACTCATCCTTGTGCTTTCTTCTTTCGTCGTTTATCCCCAGCAGAGAGAAACTACGATGTGGGAAACAGAGAGCTTCTTGCCATTAAGATGGCACTCGAGGAGTGGAGGCACTGGTTGGAGGGAGCTGAGATTCTGTTCATCATTCTCACGGATCACAAGAACCTCACTTACCTCCAACAAGCCAAGAGGCTAAACCCACGCCAAGCCCGCTGGTCTTTGTTTTTCTCGCGATTTAACTTCTGCATAACATATAAACCGGGTTCCAAAAATATCAAACCTGATTCACTATCCAGACAATTCTCAGTTTCAGACAACACCAAGACCGACGAACGCATCCTTCCTCCCTCATTCATCGTGGGGACTGTATCCTGGAGAATCGAGGAGGTCATCCGAGAGGCTCAACAAACAGAACCTGACCCTGGTACGGGACCCCCAAACAGACTCTACGTCCCATCAGCGGCTAGATCTGAGGTACTCACCTGGCTACACACTGCAAAATTTTCATGTCACCCAGGAGTCAATAGGATGCTTACCCTGACCAAGAGACATTTTTGCTGGCCTACCCTTTACCACGACGTAAAGGAATTTGTATCAGCTTGCACTATTTGTGCACAAAAGAAAAATTCCCACAGGCCTCCCTCTGGACTCCTCCAACCATTACCTACTCCTGGCAGACCTTGGTTGCACATATTCTTAGACTTCATCACCGGACTTCCACCTTCAACGGGTAATACTGTCATTTTAAACATTGTGGATCGATTTTCTAAGGCTGCACATTTTGTACCACTCACAAAACTCCCCACAGCTTCCGAAACAGCACAACTTCTGGTAGAACATGTTTTTCGCATTCACGGGATCACAAGCGATGTGGTGTCCGATAGGGGTCCTCAATTCACCTCCCAGGTATGGAAGATTTTTTGTCAAGCTCTTGGTGCCTCAGTTAGTTTATCATCCGGTTTTCACCCACAATGTAATGGACAATCAGAAAGAAGCAATCAAGAACTGGAAGATGCACTCCACTGCGTAGTACACCAGAACCCATCCTCCTGGTCTTCACTTTACCCTGGGTCGAGTACGCACTAAATTCTCATGTTTCTGCTGCCACAGGTCTCTCACCCTTCGAGGCTTCTGTCGGCTATCTCCCTCCACTGTTCCCTACTCAAGAGTCTGACATCTCCGTTCCATCTGTCCAACATCATCTCCGCAGGTGCAGAAGGATCTGGAGACAAACAAGAGAGGCTCTGCTACAAACGAGGGAACAAAACAAGAGGCTGGCTGACAAGCATCGTATCCCTGCTCCCCCACATTCTGTTGGACAGAAGGTATGGTTGTCCACCCGCAACATTCCACTAAGAGAGACTAACAGGAAACTCGCACCCAGATATATTGGTCCATATTCCATAACTAAAATCATCAACCCTACTTCCGTCAAACTAGACTTACCCAGGTCCATGCGTATACACCCCACTTTCCACGTCTCGCAGTTAAAGATCTTTAATGAAAGCCCCCTCAATCCACCATCACACATTCCTCCGCCTTATCGACAACCTCCCAGCGTACACTGTTAGGCGCATCCTCAATGTGCGTCGCAGGGGTCGGGGTTTCCAATTTCTTGTGGACTGGGAGGGTTATGGTCCAGAAGAGAGAAGTTGGATCCCCAGGGCCTTCATATTGGACCAGACTTTGATTGACGAATTCCACCGGGACCATCTGGAGAAACGTCCTTAGATTGCCTGGAGGCGATGTTTGTGTGTGTGGGGGGGGGGGGTTGTTTTTGGTG